TTTTTTTTTTTTTTTTTTTTTTTTTTTTTTTTTTTTTTTCCCCCAGTTAAACATTAACTCCTAATGAACAAAAACACACCTGTGTTGAAATGAGCTAATGAATCACACCCTGCCCTGGGATTCATGCGCAAGCCAGTCTTGATGTGTAAAGTGGGGTGTTACTGTGAAAGAAATTTGCCTTGTGCTGTCCTATGGCATGTACGTTCCAGGGAGTCAGTGGATAATACTGTGATCAGCTGCTAACTCCTGTAAATAACCATGTTAGTGAAATCAAGTCAGTATTCCTAACCATGGATAATACGAGGCAGGGAGTTGTCACTCACCTATATCAGCTGAGGGTCTAATGATGACTTTCAGGGATGTCACACCAGAAACTCCCACTAGGTTTAACTGGTAGCTGAGGGAGGTGGGCTAATGTAAGCCAGCTGAGGATCTGGGCTAACAGAATGAAAGCAATGGCTTCTCAGCAAGTTGCTGCAAGTCTGCAGTTGAAGTATTGCATCTTAATATCCTTAACCATTTTCCTCGGGAGAATTTTATCCTTGACGCTGAGTAACCCAATGGATCATATATTGCCCTTGAATGCAGCTTCACATTTCTGTTTGAGGTAAGTCAGACAACAAAATCAGAATTTCAGCTTGAAATGAGTAGTGTATAGTATGTGAAGATAAAGTTACTGACCTCTCTTGTGGCTGTGCAAGGTCATCTTTGGAAGAGCTGTTTTTAGTGGTAGCTGCACAAGTTTGAGGGCTGATGCTCTCAAACCATTCACGTACTTGTCCACTGACCCTTTCTTCACTTTTGAATTGAACGACAGGAGCTGCTTAGGGCTAGCTGTAAAGACTGCCTGCCTTGAGCTGGTGCTGCTGCCTGCTTTTTGCGTGAGGCAATGGGAAGCGTATTACGCCTGTGTCCTAGCAGAGCTGGGCAGAGTGCTTCAGATTTCACTTGGAAATGGGTTAATCTGCCCTGGATGCTGTGAATTCCCACAACACCTTAGGTTACTGCAAGGTACAAATGCTAGTAGTTCAAGTGGCTTTTGAGTGAGACTATTTGACTCTTAAATGTGTGTTTCTGATTACAGTGGGAGTTTGGTGCTTTCATAAATTTGGCTTCATGTCTGGTGGCATTGGGTCATCTGATGGGAACTAGATTAATGTCTGTGAAAACCACCTGCTGGTGGGAACTGCTGAAGTGTCTCTACTTACAGTGTGCTCTCCTGACTTCAGGTGCGATGGGGAGACAAGGGGTCAACAGAGGAAGGAGCAAAACTGGAGAAGCCCAAAAATGCTATTATTAAATTGCCAGAACAGGAGTATGAGCCATGGGAACCCAAGCCAAAAAAGCCCCATGTGAGAAAACCACCTTCCCAGCGGAAATGGTACACTCCGATCAAGGTGATGTGTCTGCCCTTCAGTTTTACCAAGTCTCTTATGTCATGCACGTTACTACATCCCACTTCCTTAGCGCAGCCTTTCTTATGGTGGACCTGGGAGAGTCTCTTTAGAAAAACGGCCAGTAACCCGCAACTTTGCCCATTTCTTGGAACGTGCATTTCACCTGGCACTGTGTTGCCATAGTTTTTTTGAGGAAGAGTGGAGGGTGTTGGAGGGCATGAGCAGAGATCTGCCCGCCCTCAGCTCACACCTTCTTTTCAGGTACTTTTGCACAGCCTGGATTGCAACAGCAGATATCTCAACTCTTAGGGAGGGCAGATGCTGTTTTGTGCCATCTCAAGGCAGCATACAAAGAGGATCAGATAAAGTGCACCATCCTTGCTTTGATTGCACTGTGGCTAAGGCCTTGGGTTGGGATTCAGCTCTGTTCCCTGCTAGTTCAGCCACAAGACGTAGTGCTTGATTTTGGGCAAGTCGCTCAGTCTCTCCACACTTTCATCCCCGTTTCTCCCGTGTCATTATAGTATCTGGTGTCTCCCCGCCTTTTAATGTATGTATCCTCACACAACCCTTGAGGCAGGGCAGAGCTGTTATCTCCGCTTACAGAGAAGGAAGCTGGCGGGCTAGCGCAGGCCAAGGGAACAGCATACCATGCTCATCCCAGAAACCTGTGGCCACGTCCCAAACCAGTGCTTTGTGGGATGAGGTCCCTCCTCCCCACCATGCTCACAGATCAGTTTAACAGTGCTTGAATTTATTGTCTGGAAAGTACCTGTGAATTTTAAAGCCTGCCTAGGTAGGTAGTCTTGTGGCTGTTTATCCATGCCCCAGCTCACCTCCCATCAGTACAGTACTTTTGTTGTTCTACCTTTTGTTAACGTAACACCTGTCTAATTGTGTCTCTTAGGGGAGTTGTTCACATGAAACTATAGTCATCCTCAGTGAGTTTCGAGCAGGCTGAATCTGGCCTGTTGCATATCGGGTACACGTTACCCCATTGAGGTCTCTTTTCTGGCTGTCCAGATAAGCAGTATACAGAGGGCAGGAGCACAGGAGCAATGTTTGTGCAGACAGTTTAATACAGAAAGGCTGGATCAACTCACCTGTAGTTTAATCTCATGCTGGTTTCCCCAGATTTCTTGGTTGTCTCTCTTTTTTATTATTTTTTATTTTTTTATTTTTTTATTCCAGGGCAAACTTGATGCACTGTGGGCTTTGGTTCGACGAGGCTATGATCAAGTCTCTCTTATGAGACCACAGCCAGGGGATAAGGTAAGGTGTCACAAACACACTGGCATGTCACTTCTCTGTTAGCAGCAGCGATGCTCTTCCCTCCCAACCACCCTGTCTTTTTTTTTTTGTCTTTTTTTTTTTTTTGAGCTTGTCTCTTTTCACATTACCCTAAGGCTAAAAATTTGTCACAAGAACCAGAGATTTCAAAATGAGCTAAAATGTTTGCTGTGGCATGTATTTAAAAGTATTGCCCCAAAAGGTCAACCACAATGTCTCCACTGTGATGATTTGAGCAGACTGAGGAAGAAGTTGGCCGGCCACAGTAGTATATGAGACCTTTTTCAGCCATATAAGTTCTTAGCCTTTTTTTCTGGGCACACGTGTTGAAGTCAAAGGATAGGTTCTCTGTTTGTGGGTTCTGGGGGAATGCTCGTTTTGAATTTAATATGCAGTAGTTGTTCTACCACAGTAATTATCCTTCCTACCCAACTTCATAAAAATGCTTCTCACTTAATAATGGAGTTAAGTGATTAATGAGAGAAATCATGAACTGTGCAGGCGATGAAGAAACAAATTATAGGAAAGTTAATGGAGATTAAAGTTTCTGTAGAATTCTGTGCAAAGACACATTTCTTGGTCATATCCTATAGGTAGGCAGAGAGCATCTCCTGCCTTGATAAAGTCTATTGGCCAAATATAGGTCAGGAGTATATTCCTCCTGGGAGGAGGCAGGGAGTTTATGCATTTCAGAGCTACAGAGATGTCTGTGTGCTGCCCCTGGGTCACTTGAGATAGCTTAGTTCAGAGCTCTCACGATTTCCCCGTGAGAGCCTGGCACCGTTATGGTTGTCTCTATCTTGTTATTCCGGGGGGACAACTCCATAAGAATTGAGTGCTGCTGCTTTGGGCTGTTGCACCTTCAGATTTGGCTTTCTGCGGTGCCACTTTGAAACATGAGGACTGAGCAGAGACGACAGCATTTTTCTCCCCCTGTGGCCCTTTTCTGGCCAGAGTCCATACTTTTCATCACCTTTGCTCTCAGGGGAAGGGGTTATGGAGTTACAGCAGTAGGGGCCGTAAAATGCTTTTCTGGGATAGGAGTGGTGCAGAGGCCCTTGTGCTGGGCTTGTTTGCCTGGGTGACTTTCACACCTAATAACAGATTTTAAAAGTAGCCCTAATTTGCATCATCTAGGGCAAAAAAGTTGCATCCCTCTGGCTTTTGGCAAAATACCGTTATGGTATTTGTCTAGTTATTAATCAAACATGCAGCTTCAGTATTTCAAGTTTAGTCTCTTCCATTTTTCTTTTGGTGTGTAAGGAAACTAAGAGAACAAACTCAGCTTCCTATGCTACTTCGTAAAATGGTCTTAACTGTTTCACTAAGCTGCATTTTCAAGGCAGCTGTGCTTGAGACACCTTATTTACTTTTTAAGCACGATCTAGAGCTTCTGAATAGGCTCTTTAGGCCCAGCTGTATTTTGATAGCACTAACATTGTATAATATGAATCTATCCTCTGCCTTTCACTCCCTGGGTTGGTACGTTTCTATCGGTGCAGAGCACAACAGAGCCTCTGTTAGCCTGCGCAGTCAAGAAACATGCAGGGGGCTGGCTCCGAACAGGCATCCTCAGTTCCTTGCCTTCTAGCTCTGCTGCAGGGAGGACGAGGGGCTCAAAAGAGGCAATGTAAAACAGAGCGAGCTGAAGGATTATTGTATCAGGGAGAACATTAGAAAAATCAAACGTACATCTGGGAAATGGGGTGGAAAGAATCCTATTGAGCCAGATTCGGTAGAAGAATAGGATCATCTCTGTTCCCTGGCCTGTGAAATTAACTAAAGCTGAAGAATATTGAAAGTGAAACAAGAAAATGACTAGACATCCTTCTGCTGTTAAAAAAAAAAAAAAAAAAAAAGACGACATCACAGGCCTGTACTTCATGGAGAAAGCTAGCACAGAAAAGAGCGAGGTTATTATTTATTGTTTGGTTTACTTTTCTAGTAGCAATCCCTCAGTGGAGAATTGGCTCCCTGTGAGTTAGGCTTTTGGTGTGTCAGGGGGGAGTATATGAATATACACGTATGTACACATAAGTATATATGAGTATACACACACATGCACACACTTACTTTGTGGCTGAAGAATGGGGAGTTCAAGTCAGTGCTATGAGTGACCGGCAGCGTGGAGAGCCTGGAGCTCCGGCTGTGCAGAGCTGGAGGAGCCCGGCAGCCCCAGGAGCAAGCCCGCAGCTCCGCTCGACCCAGCCCAGGCGGGGACAAGGCCACTCCTGTACAGGTGTGCTGACAGCAGTCAACGGATTTTGGTTTACTGTTGGATAGACATGAAAGTACAGCCTGACGTGCCTCGGTGCATGGTGTCCTTCCAGACTGCACCATCCAGCGGCCAGTGACTGTGTGGTGATCTTTGAGAGAGGGATTGCTTTGTTTTGTGGGGTTTTGAGGGATTTGGGGGGACAAGGGGAAGAGTTCTTTGGGTTTTTTGGTTAGCCTTTTTTAGTTTGATTTTTAAGGCAATTTCACAGTTGTCTTGGTTGTTCAGGAAAACTTAGAGCTCAGAAAGCAAAAGGAACACAGTTTAACTCTGTTTTGGGAGTGGCATTTGGATTCGTAACTCAGAAAATTCCTATCTCTGAATTTCCCAGAATCAGTCAAATTTTACTATCTTTACGTTTTCAGGGATTACCAGAGATGTAGGTTGTTTCCCACTGGAACAAGATAACTCGCTGAAGTTACATTTTTCCAAATTTGTTTCACAGTTTACCTGGATTGAAAAAAAAAAAGTTTTCATTTTCCATTTTTATTGCTGCAGTTGGGCATATGTTTGCTTTTTGCAGCCATTGGGAGAAATTATAGGAAAACACTTTTTATACATAATGAAAATACTAATTATAGAGAAGAGAACATCCACAGTACAGGGAAAAAATATTTTTCACAAGGCTTTTGGGGCAGGGGAGTACGACAAAGGAGAATTTTTTTACATTAAAACATTCTTTAAAAACTCTTTTGAAAAGTGTAATTTCTTTCCTCATTTGAAAATGATTACTGTGGTTTGGGAGCTTTTCTCCCAAAAAAATATGAAAAATACTTGTAGAAAAACTTCTTTTTCTGTGATAGTTTTTGGCGGAAAACTAAATATGTTAATGTTTTTGGTATATTCACCAATGTATCTGGTTTTGTCACAGAGAAGCAAAAGTCTGTTAGACATTTTTCAGAGCTGTTCAGCATCTTCCCCCACAACACAGCCCTTTTCTTTTTGGCTCTGCAAACCATACAGCGAAGGCAGTATTGCTACCCCAGGTTTTCAAATCATGTCTTCTCCCCCACTCCCATCATGAAGTGAAGTTAAAAATGGAACTGTTTGTATTTTTTTTGAGTCTTCATGTGGTGAAGCCCATTCCAGAGTGTGCGTGAGAGCCTTGCAGTGGAAATTCAGGCTGAAACATGTATGCAGGAATACAAGGCTGACTGCTGCAAGGGATTTTCTGTTGTCCTTTGCTCTGGGTGGCCAGGGCTGCTGTCTATCCATCCTCATTTCTTCCTTCATCGTGATCCTGTTGCCTTTCCCAAACCACCTGCTCTTTTCCTTACCCGTGTCCCCCTTGGACTCCTGCCCTAGACAGTCCCTTCCATTTCCTTCTGTGGCTTCTTCCTCTCCGTGCTGTCTCTCTCAGTCCTTGTTTCCCTGCACCTCCCCTTGATGAGACAGACTGGCGCTCGGCAGTCCTGCCCTCTGGGAGCAATGGGCTGCTGACCAGCCTCCTTCCCCCGTTCCTTTCATGCTGCGGGAACCGAGCTGCTGGTAGCAGCATGCCCTGGATTACAGCCTCGCTGCGGAGCTGGCTGAGGCTCCAGAGAGCTCCTCTGCCCTGGCTCATGCCTTCCACAGACTTATCAAGACAAGGATCTCGGGATGGATGACCCATCAGTATTAGGCAGGATTGTATTAATAGGACTGGCTGTGAAAATCACAGGCGCTTTTTAGAACTGCCTATTTAAAGAAAACCAGCCAAGCACAAGCTCTGATGCCCCTTCTCCTGGGATCTGTGCCCACGGTGTTTGGCTTGGCTCTGCAGACAGCTCCTCCTCTTGGTCTCCATTCAAGATCACGTCACAGCACCACTGCTGAAATTGGTTGTTAGTTTGGCAAGTACCTCAGTAAAGGGTCACAGGACCCTGCCCACTCAACTTCTGCAGGTCACCCCTCGCAGGAGCTTCTGTTGCACCAGGATGGGACAGCAAGGGATATCTACCCCGTCATTAGCAGATAGGCTGCTATTTGTGGGATGGCTTTTTGCTGAGCTCTCAGACAGCACCAGCAGAGGGGCAAAGAGATGAAAAAGGGCAAGCGGCTCTGCTGCCGATTGCTGGGCTTTCTTCCTTGGAGTAATGTACAAAGGTGAAGCCTTCATAGGCATTTGTGCTACTGCTGCAATGATGGATCCCTTAGAGCTAGGCTGCTATTCTTCTCTTCCTCCCCCAGAAATTTGGGGCTTAGAGGGACCAGCAGTCACGCTTTTGGCCCAAGAAAGGGATTGACAGCTCTGAGGTGGGGACACTGCTCATCCAGCAACAGGGAGCATGTCACAGTGGCTACGTGGCCTGTTGAGCTATGTGTTGCTCAAGATACTCAGGCTGCCTTGAGGACTCCCCCATCACTGTGTTGGTGCCCTCCCCCGTCGCTGTGTTGGTGCCCTCCCCAGCTTGGTTCTGAGCTTGCAGGGGGCTGCTATGAAGATTGGAGTTTGGGAAATACTGATGTCAGGCTATCTTGAAGTGTCTCATAGAAACCACAGTAGCTGGTGGGGCAGGTTGTCGGTAGTCTCTGCAAAAGGGAACTTTCAAGCTCTTCCCCTTGGCCTCACGGATCAAGAGTGGGGCTGTTACCAACGCCAGCAAGTAAACATTAAGAGCCCCAATATGTGCAGAGAGGAAGGTGAGATGCTTCTTTCAAATGGTCTGCTTAGTTGCTGCTTTCAGCAAATCCATTCCATTTTGCATTTCAGCACATACTGTCACAG